CAGACATAAAACATCTAACAGCAGAAGACTGGTCAGCCTCAGAATTAGATCTCTAAACAAAGTTTAAGAAATTTTTTTATCTCAACTTCATACATATAATTAAATTAGAAAGAACAATGACTTCAAATAAAATCTATGACTTTAAAACAATTTGATCACGAGCCAAAAAACACAATTACACATTATCCTCCTTTTTCCATTTTTCCTTCATGTCTTTTATTTTTATTAATGTTACCTCATTCCTTTATTTATTCTTACGTGTCTGTTACACAACAGGCTAGCAGGATTTAAGATGCCTGTGTTACTTTAGTCTCATGGAAAGCCCACCCGTGGTTCATGTGTTAGCCAAGTCTGTAGCCCTTGTTTTCTTATTGTGATTAGATATTGGTGTTAAGAAAACTTAAAATATTTTCAATGATTTTACTTTCAAATTACATTAATACACATTCTTATTTTACATACTTGACACCATTGTTTAAAATAGCACTACAAAAACTTTATTTGTGCCATCTAGTCATCAAAAGAGGAATGCAAATGGTGTGAGGTAAAATTATACCCCATTAGCTTTCTTCATTAATCTAAGGATTTGAAAGATTAAATAAAGTAAAATCAAATTTCCTGAAGTTCATTTGATAAAATATGTAATAAATAAAAGTTTCACCAAAAACTAACCTTTAAGTCTTTAGTCTCCTGTAATAACGCTGACAGTCTCCCTTCAACATCAGTAGTTTTTGCAGCTGTTACAGTTTCATTCTCTCCTGATACAGGAACTGATTTGGCCTGAAAGTAGAAATTAAAAAAATAAAGCCAAAAAAATTTTCTTTAAAAATTTTAAAATTCCAAGCTATCAATATGAACTCCCAAAGTGGTGATTTAATTTTCTTCCTATTTTGAAATTTTATTCCCAGTAACAGAACATATGTGTTTACATGTAACAAAGTGCTCTCCCCTGAAAGATGAGCTGTCTGCATAGTGGAGGCGGCGGCTTAGTTGGGATGAAACGGCATCAAATCCCATCAGAGTATGAAGAAGGCTGGGCTAACCTGCTTCAAGGTCAGCC